GCAAACCCCCCAGGCCTGTCCTTGTTGAATTCGCAAACCCCAGACACCGTGATTAGTTCTTACAATCCTCTGGAAAGATAGGTCTTAGCACAAGAGGTTAGGTGGCTATCCGGCCAGATGACGCGGCCCACGGGAAAGCTCACGTATTCTCAAGTCCACCCAACTCGTCCGGCTTTAACACAGCACGAATGGGTCAGCTTCAAGTTCAGGTCCAGCGAATGGGGTCTACTTTGCACGGAGCCCCGAGGAGACACCGAGTGATCAGACAGTGAAATGTACCAGCACCTATGGCAGACCCAGTTTATTCACCCCACCGAGTAGCCTACCGGGAGGCCTATTCCCAGCAAGAAATAGGAACAGCGATAACGTGATCGCAAAAAACGGATGGGGAGCTCGGGTCTAAGGCCCGAGCGACCGACTAATCCCACGAGGTGCAGGGGATCAAGGGAGAAGTTGAAACTAGGGGTGTGGTACACAAATGCCACAAGTATAGGAAATAAATGGCCCGAACTAAGAACACAGGTAAGCCAAGATGATGTGATAATAATCACAGAATCATGGCTGCGATCTAGTGACGACATTAGTAACTTGAGCCCACCTAACTATATCCCCAGCAGAATGGATCGCCAGGATGGACGGGCCGGAGGGGGAGTACTGGTACTCGTAGCCGCCCACCACAGCCAACATGAATGTCGTCACCACAACACCCCGAATGTACAAGCAGTGGAGGTGATTGTACCGGCTATCCGTCATCGGTGTCTACAGAAGCCCGTCGGCCACCATAGAGGATAATCAGTTACTGCTACCGCTGTTAACTGAACAGGCTGGATCTAGTGACCGGGTGTTGTTAGCAGGAGACTTCAACGCTCCGGAACTCGATTGGACCACCGAAACGGCCCCACTGGGGACATTCGGGGAAAGGCTACTTGAAATGTTGCATCGTAGGGCCGGATCTAATATGTGACCGGCGAGGCCAGATGGAGGTTCGGGCAAACAGCTTCTACTCTAGACCCAGTTTGCACAAAGTTCTCCAACGAGGTGCGGAGAATTGTTATAGAAGACCCGTTGGGGACAGGCGACCACGGGGTTATAAGGATGAGGATTAGAATGCAGGGACTACCTGCTCCTGACAAATTTCGGCGTCAATGGAGCAAGATAGACACCGAGGACCTGCAGCGTAGGGCGTGCCGGCTAAACTGGTTGGCTGAGAGTGCTCAAGAAAGTGTGCAAGCCCAGTGGGATCGCGTAAAGAACAACCTGCTGGAGCTGACCAATCAGGTGGCACCCGGAAAAAGGGTAANGTGGAAGGCGCGTGTCGACAAAGCAATGCGGCGCAAAAAGGAGACGTGGCAGCGCTGTCGAAGCTCCGGAGGTTTTCGCGCCCACGTAAGGTACAAGGTGGTAAGGCGTGAGGCCACTATAGTCCAGAATGAGTGCAGACAAAGGTATGAGGAGCGCTTGGCTGTCAACGCCAAACAGAACGTTAAGGCGTTCTTCAATTATATGCAGTCCAAGAGTACCCTTAGAAAGGAAGTAGGCACGATAGTTGACGCGAGGGGGAACCAAACTTGGTCCAACCAAGAGAAGGTGGAAGCCCTCCTCAACTACTTCCAGGAGGCGTACAGACCAGACAACGGTAGACCCGAGCCTCCCCTGGGCAGTTATGAGAGAATTGTTATGCTTGACGTGGTGATCTCTGAAGATGAAGTGCATCGGG